AAGGAAGACCATAGAAGAATTGATGCATTTGAGTTATGGTGTTGGAGGAGAATATTAAAAGTATTGTTGTTGTTGTTATGTGCCATCGAGTCAGTTCCGACCCATAGCGACCCTGTACAGGGTTTCTGAGGCTGTAAATCTAAGCCAGGATGGTGAGACTTTGTCTCTCATACTTCAGATGTATTGTTCGGAGGGACCAATCCTTGGAGAAGGATATCATGCTAGGTAGATTGGAGGGTTAGGGGAAAAGAGGAAGACCCCCAGCAAGATGGATTGGCACAGTGACAGCAGTAATGAACTCAAGTTTAACAATGATTGTGAGCATGGTGTGGGATTGGGCAGTGTTTTGTTCTGTTATGCATAAGGTCGCTATGATTCGGAATTAACTTGACTGCACCTAACAACAGCAACAACTGAATATAGAAGTACTTCATTGTTTTAGCAACCAGTACATTCTTATCAATGAGTACTTGCTGACTAGGAGTCCTGGTCACTAGTGCTTATATTACAAAGGCCTTGAAGGTGGGCTCATTCTATAGGAATGCAAGGAGAAGCTCTTATCAAATCTGGGTTAGGCATGTAGAATGTAGATGGTCTGGTCCAAGCCAAATTTTGAAATCAGCCAAGTAGATGACCCAAAAGGATGAGGGAGCAAGCAAGAGCTTGGTTGACATGACAAGGACACTAAGAGATGGGGCAATAGCAGGCAGAGAGCAGGGGATGGTCTCGGGCCAGAGCTGCGTCTATGCAGCGTCCCCTGGAATGAGGTTAGTCCAGAAAGAGGTGTGCTGTCAGTGTAAACACCTGGTTTTAAAGACAGTACAAAATACCAAAACCAAATCCATTGCCGTCGAGTCGATTCTGACTCAGGGTGACCTTGGATAGAGTAGAACTGTCGTCTTTACGGAAGCAGACGGCCACATCTTTTTCCTACAGTACAAAATGAGGCATGTAATATATCTTATTGATCAGAGTATTATCACCTTCACTTTACCCCTGAGGAAATGGAAGCACATAAAACACCAACAGGTGCTGTGGGTAGAATTACATCCTCCCAAAATTAGTACTTGATTTCTGGCCCTCCTACCTGAGGATGTTATCCAGTTTGGAAATAGGGGTTTTGTCATGCTAAGAAATGTCCTATCAGTGGAGGGTGGATCCGAGACATAGAAAGGAGAATAAACACAGAAATAGGGGGGAAAGTGTCATGTGAAGGTTGTCTAAAAGCCAAGGAACACCTAAGAACCCCAAGGAACCAGGGAACATCTAGGGCTACAATAAGGAAGAAACAAAATTATCAAAACCCTGATTTGGATGGTCAGTCTCTACAACTGTGAATAAATAAATTTCTGTTTTTTAAAGCCACCTAGACTTCTGGTGTGGCGCTGTAGGATCAGCATTGGACTGCGAACCACTAAGAGGTCAGTTCAAACACACCGGCTGCTTCTCAGAACTCCTATACAACAGGGTCACTATGAGTCAGAACAGACTCTATGGCACTTAACAACAACTTGTGATACTTGTTACAGCGGCACCAGGTAACTAAGACAGGAGGTTAAAGAATGTGCCTCAGATCACGCACACATCCATACTGGAATTGAAATTTGAGCCCAGGCAAAGGGACTCCAGAACCCAAACTCTTCAGCCTCTAAACTTTCTTGTCTAAAACTCTTCTAAAGGTTACATCAGGACACGATGTTTTTCTTCTTCCTGGGAAGTTCTTCCTTTGGCAGGGCAGAAAAGAGAAGGCAGACAAAACAAAAAACAAAAAAAAAACAAGCAGCTAAGAAAACTGAATTCCTAGAGAAACAGGAGGCTGTAGAGTAAGAAACCAGTGGGAGGGGAGAGGCTCAGACAAACGTGTGAGGGAAAGGCCTTGGAGGCTCTGCTAAGTGATGGACAAGAAGGCTGCGTGTAATGATAACATAATGATCAGAACATCTGGTTGGAGTTCATTTAAAAAATAACATCTGCCTTAGAAGATAAAGGCAATTTGTATAACTCTTGTCCTTGGAGTCTTGATGTGGCACTGTAGGATAAGCACTGGACTGCTAACCACAATGTTAGTGGTTCAAACCCACCAGCTGTTCCTCAGAAACCCTACACAGGGTCTCTATGAGTCGGAAATGACTCAACAGCACTTAATATTAACAGAACATAACGTGGTCCTTGGGGAAAAATAAACAATTATCCCTAAACTCTGGCAAAACACCATTCTTTGAATTTAGACCTTGGTATTATTTACGAATCGGGCTGCGAACCTTAAGGTCAGCGGCTCGAAACTACCAGCTGCACCGCGGGAGAAAGATGAGGCTTTCTACTCCCGTAAAGATTTACACCCTCGGAAACCCTATACAGGGTCGCTATGGGTTGGAACCGACTCGATGGCACTTAACAACAACAATTATGAACAAATACCCTATTGCCTTTTGTTTACCAGAATAGCTCCAGTCATGGAGAGCTGGAGAGAGGGTCTTGAAGAGCAAATAACCCCTTTCAGGCTTATTTTGCAAAGTAAATTATGAAATGGTGATCTGTGAGAGAGACAACTCCAACTCTCCCTGCTCCCTGCCCCGCAGGTGACAGGTTATCAGCGTGGACCTGGCCAAGAACAAGCGCAATCTGGGGTCACAGCTCAATTCCATATGGAATCGGAATTCATGCCTGTCCTCTGTGAACAGACACAAGGGGGCTTCAAAAAAGCTCATGGAGCAATGGAATGAAAGATCATGGAATATTGCCCCCCACCTTACCCCCCCAAAAAAAACTTCTTGAAGCCCCCTCATATATGCATATAGTATTAGGAATCTAATTAATGATGTCTTTTAGAATTTAATCAAAATCTTCATCCAGCCCTGCCTGAATCTGCATACAGGTACATACTGAAAAATCAAATTGACAGCCTCCTGTGAGGCAGTTGCTCTAAATCAAGGGCTATATTTAGAAAGACTCTGCTTTAAGAACAGTACCTCCCCTTCCCCGCCGCCACTGATGACCCTTTTGCAGTCGCTGGTGGTGGCGATGGCGGTCACCCCAATCCTGTGAGCGTTGTTAATGATATACATCAGTTGGCCTGTCTCTGGGGTAAAGGCTCGGATTCTGCCATCATCCCACGCTGACATGGAAGAGAAACAGAAAAAAACCAGGAGGGATCAGTATACTCCACCTCTCCCCTACACCACTAAGTACTGCTCACCTACATCATTAGTGGGTGTCAGGACTGGGGAGTGGTGATGACGATGGAACAAAAATGAAGCCCCCACCAACTGCCAGTAATCTCATCCCCCACAGGCTCCTGGTGCCCCCTGGCTGAGGGTAAAGAGTTCTTGGTCCTACTTGAACCTACACTTGGTAAGAGACAGGAGGGAGGGAAGTAGGGAGGCCAGCTCCCAACTCTCTGTGGGCTAGACTTGTGCACTCAACTGTCTAGCTGATACCATCCCTGGGATGGTAATTGCACATTTTCAGATAAAGAACTGACTTTCTACCTTGCACCCTCGAATCTGATGCTCCTTACTCCACCCGCTTCCACATCTCAATCAAAGTTGCCACCATCCTCTCCGTCCAATGCTCAAACCATGAGCATCTGAGACATCCTTGATTTCTTTCTATTCCACACCCACCACCACCCCCACACACAACAAATTTAATCCATCCACAAATTCCATCAGTTGTACCTTTTGAAAATATCCAGAATATGATCACTTTTCAACCCCTCCACTGCGGTCCTTCTGGTCCCGGTTACCACTATTTCTCTTGGATTATTCTAAATAACACCTTCCTTCTCCAGCTTCCATTATTGTTGGTAAGTGTCGTTGGTTCCGACACACAGTGACCCTGTACAGGGTTCCTGAGGAGCAGTTGGTAGGTTTGAACTGCCTGCCTTATGGTTCACAGTCCAGTGCTGATCATACAGTGTCACACCAGGCATCTGGTTCCACTATTGGTAGTTATGTGCCGTGGAGTCGGTTCCGACTCATAGTGACCCCGTACAGGGTTTCCGAGGCTGTAACTCTTTTTTGTACATAGTATTCAATAAAGATTTATTGAATTAATAAACTTTCATTTCTTTTGTAAGGACACAGTATTTGACTGCATACTGAAGGATTACAGAATTCAAAAATTAAAAGAATATGAAATGTAAATCTGTAAAGATTTACAGCCTCGGAAACTCTGTACAAGGTCGCTATGGGTCAGAACCGTCTTGATGGCACTTAACAACAAATCTTTAAGGGAGCAGAAAGCCTCATCTTTCTCCCGCGCAACAACTGGTAGTTTCGAACTGCTGACCTTGAGGTTCACAGCCCGATTCGTAACCACTACGCTACCAGAGCACCACTATTAATCACTTTTAATCTATATAGGAGGTATGTGAACTTTTAAAAACCATGTCACTGCTCTGATAAAGAACTTCTTAAAGGGTTTCCCACTGCACTCAGAATAAAAATCCCAATTGCTTTGTTCTACATAATAACTAAGGAGCTCTGGTAGCATAGTGGCGTTACAAATTGAATTGTTAACCGCAAGGTCAGCAGCTAGAATCTACCAGCTGCTCCATGGGAAAAAGATAAGGCTTTCTGCTCCCATAAAGATTTATAGCCTTGGAAACTCTATACAGGGTCACTATGATTTGGAATCGACTACATGGCACACATATACCACCACCATCACCACCCACATAGTAACTAGTATCTGTCCCCTACCTACCTTTGTAAATTTTTCTATGTCACTCAAGTTCTTACATACTGGCCCAGTGATTTCCCACCACAAGGCTTTCGCACTTCATGTTCCCTTTGTCTGGGACACTCTTCCCATGACTGGCTTTAGTGTCGCCTCTTGACCAGTTGTAAATAGAAGGTTCAAACTAGATCTCACTTCGGCAAAGATCCGAAGGAAGTGAGGGAGTGTGGGAGCGAGCCATGGGGACACCTGGGAAGAACATTCCACGTAGACAGAACAACTAGAGCAAAGGCCCTGTGCCCAGTGTATCTGAGGAACGGCAGAGGCGCAGGTATGGCTAGAGGAGGTGAGTACTAAGAGACAAGTCAGAGGCAAGAAGGTGGAAGTGGCAGAAAAAAGAAGTCACTGCAAGGACTTTGTCTTTTGAGCCTTAGAAATGACATGGTGGTAGCATGCCTTTGAGTTGGTTCCGACTCATAGTGACCCTGCATAGAGTTTCTATGCTCTGAGGCTGTAAATCTTTACAGGAGCAGAAAGCTTCATCTTTCTCTTGAGGAACCGCTGGTAGTTGCGAACTGCTGACGTTGAAGTTAGAAGCCCCACTGGTAACCACTACGCTATGTTGTTGTTGTGAAGTGCTGTCCAGTCGGTTGTGACCCATAGCGACCCTGTATAGGGTTTCCGAGGAGCAGCTGGTGAGCTTGAACCACTGAGCTTGCAGTTCAAACAGCTTTGCAGTCTGCAGAATGGGCAAAGGTAGCTGCAGGGAGATGTGGTAGTGATAGACAGGGAAGTAAGGAAGGAAGAGCAAACCTGACACCCCCTCATCCCCACCCCTCTGGTAACCACCACCAACCACAGGTAGAATGAGATAATTAAATAAAGAGACAAAAAGGAGAAAAGCCTATAAACTAAGAAAACGTCAGAAATAGACATGTTAAAAAATAAATACCCCAAGACAGCCATGATCGATGTGTATTTCACTGGCTTTCAGAGATCGACTCGCTTGCCTATCGAGTGTACTTCGCTTTCTATTAAACCTGCTTTCTTACACTCCTGTGGTCTTGTTCATGTTTTGCGTTCCCGACACCTCACCTGAATCTGCAACTCCTTGCTAGAAGTCCAGGAGAATTCCCATGGCACATTTGGTAAAAGTAGGAAACTGTTGAGTAATCTAAGAGCAAGCTGATGGTGGCTAGGACAAGGGTTGCTGTTGTTATATGCCATGGAGTCTGTTCCAACTCATAGCAACCCTGTACAGGGTTTTCGAGGCTGTAACTCTTTACGGGAGCAGAAAGCCTCATATTTTGCCCGCAGAACAGCTGATAGTTTTGAACTTTTGACCCTGAGGTTAGCAGCCTGATTCGTAACCACTATGCTACCAGAGGTGCACATGATAAGAAATGATGAAATTCTGGATGCATTTGAAAGTTACAGCCTTTAGAGGTATATGGATGTGGGGTTTAAGAGACAAAGACAAAGATGACTCCAAGGTTTTTGACCTAAGTGTGTTAGCTCGAGATGTGACGTAATCAAAGAGTTCCTGGTGGAGAAGACAAGCCTGTGGTTGAATCCGAGCCAAGAAAAGAGGGAATGAAATGGGTTCTTGATATCATCTAAAGATTCACCCTCTTGACTTTTTATGGATGTGAACAAGTAAATTTACTTTTGACCACTGAGAAATTTATGTTTGTGTTGGACATAAGAAAATATGAAGAAATTGTTATTTAATAGAAAATTTAAAGCATTTTCAGAGGTGCACGTTAAATTATTGAAAGTTTGAGTAACATGGTGTTTATAATCTATGCTATAATACTTTGGCATAAAATAATAAACTGCATTCAAAATAAATTCCCTTACGACTATAACTTGGTTTTATTCAGATATTTATTGCACTTAATTTTTTGTGCCCTGTACTCAGTTGGTCCTCATATATACTTTGTAATTCAATTACTAACTTTCTGTACTCTAGAGAAAGATAGATGCTATATGCAGCAATTTGGGAGAAGAAAATTTGCCATTTGATTCTTACTAAATCAGAAAATCTCCCAGCTGGAGGAGAACTCAAATGACAGCTTAGAGTAGAAGAAAGAAGGAGGTGGGCAGTGGAAGGCTATTCCAGCTGATTTCCTTGTGGATAACTTCAAACCTTTTTAGTTACGGTCAACAAAACGAAATTGCAATAGACAGCACTGGGCGAGTGGGTCAATAATCAGAACAAGAAAGATAAAGGGGCTGAAAGAGCTGACTTTATCTCATTCCATGGAGAGACTTGGAGGAGGCATTGTCAGCTCGTTCAGAAGTCTGATGCAGGAGTCTGGATCATTGCCAGGACTGTGGAGGTCAACACACATTCAAAGACGTGTGGCCGGTTGCCATCTTTGAGTAGGGCGCCATTGTTTCCAACCATGCTTGTCAAGAGATTTGGTTGCTCTGCAACACACATGCTGCTCTGGTTTTCTACGAGGGAGATTAAGTTTCTAGCAGTGTGTTGAACCATAAGTTTTTGGTCCACCCACGTTTTACAAATTTGGATCTGTTCCAGTTTAATTTCATTGGTCAGAGCTGAGCCAAGAAGCAGCAGTTCAAAACCCCAGTAGAAGGCCTGGCAAGAATTAAAACCATAGACAGATTAATCCAAATCTCGACAGGTAGATGTTACCTGAAACAATGCTCTTCCCATCTCTCATTATATCAATGCCGTGGCACGTCATGTTGGGCACAGTGATCCTCAGCAGCTCCCTGTTAGACAGTGTGTGCCACACTCTGATGTCTTTCTTGGCGCAAGTAGCAAATAGCTCAGCAGTGCCACTGCAAAGAGACCATTGAGAGCTAAGAGACGCAGTCATAGAAAACACACTGCGCTGCGCATATGCATATTTGACAATAAAATGTATTTCACAAAGACATAGGGGAGGGTGTGTTTTTTAGATGTCACTGACTATATGAAATCCTGATAAGCTTACAAATCTTTTGGGTAAAATAGCATTGATGACCTCAAATCACCTATAGTTAATTTTTTATTATCCTTCTCTATTAGGGAGGGTAGGTCAAAGCTCTTTCAGAAGAAAAAGTTCATTTTAAAGTCTCCCAGTGATGGAGGTGCACAAGAGTAAAAGACAACAAGGGTGGATACTGTATCACACACACAATGCTGCAATAGTAGTAATAACAAATACTATCTACAAGTAGATACATAGGTACACATGCAAGCTGAGCATAGGCTATTTCTACATATGTATTTGTATGTGCTGCAAATATACTCAAGGATATTGTAAAGCTTACAGCGTTCTGGAAGCTTCTTAACTATAGCCAAACACTCTGAGAGAATGAATCATTGGGCTTAAGGACTTAGAACCACAGTCTTGGGAGACATCTAGTTCAATTAGAATAATAAAATGCACAAAGACAATGTTCTACAAGTCTTTGTGGATTTTAAGACTCCAGTGAGTAGTAATTGGAGTCTTAAAAGCTTTTGAGAACCACTTCTGGAATATGGCAGACTAGGCAACTACACTATATGGACCCTATATAACAAAGATTGTTGTTGTTGTTAAGTGCCGTCAAGTGGGTTCCAACTCATAGCAACACTGTACAGCGTTTTCAAAGAGTAGCTTGGTGAGCTTGAACTGCCAACTTCGTGGTTCAAGCTGACCTTGCAGCTCAGTGCTTTATCCCACAGCGCCACACCAGGACTCCATACAAAAAGATAGGAGAGACCAAATGAAGTAGATTATAGGTGAAAATTCAGGAGCCCTGAACTTCAGAGGAAAGGTTAGAGAAGTAAATTGAATGCTTGCTGGTGCTTGAAGGTGAGCAGGAATGGCAAGAGACGGAGACTGACTTGTGAACAACCGTCCAGATGCAGCGTGACCATCTTATGAGCTGCTTTGGCAACAGAAAGAGGCTTGGCAGAGTAGATTTACTCAAGCAGTGGGAAAGATGTCATTCCTTCTTTTCCCCATGCTCCCTTGGGGACCAGAGGGGTGGCCAGTTCCCACCCTCATCCACCCCAATCTCTAGGAGTTCAGATCCACATGACTGGGAGCCACACCAGTGTGAGGCGTGAGTCAGCTGCACTGCTTTGGTGCATCCGTTTGGTGCCTGGATTCAGGCGGGATCCAGTCGAGATCTACAGACCCTGCAGACCACGACCAGTCACCCTGCCCCCACTTCCTTGTGGTCCTAACAGACACTGAAACCAGCTCCATCCAGGGACTCCATGAACTACTTCTGGATTGAGTGTCTGGAGCACAGATAACACCAAGACCATTAGGAACTCCGTCTGGGTCCAGGAAGTCCGCTGTCACATCCCTCCCACACCCATCTCTGTAGTTCCTTGACTTGGAGTAGCCCCCAGAGTTTGCTTCTCTCCAGGTCCAACAGCTGCACTTTGTGTGTTTGTTTTTCCTTTTGTTGTTTCATTGTTTGTTTAACCTGTGTCCTACCTCTTCTATTTCCACGTCATTGAATTTTATCCTGTATAGCTCTGCTTTTCCTTTTCCTTTTTTACTTCTGTTTCTGATTTCCTCCTTTACTCTATACTCTCTATTTTCATCTTAGAAAAACCTCTCCCTGGTTTTTCTAAGTGTTTAAAATTTTTTTCTTCCTTTTATTTCCTCTCTTATTTTTCTCTTCTATACCTCCATTTTCCCGTTCCTCTTTCCTATTTTTGTTATGTGCCGTGGAGTCAGTTCTGACCCATAGCGACCCTGTACAGGGTTTCCAAGGCTGTAAATCTTTACGGGAGCAGAAAGCCTCATCTTTCTCCCTCGGAACAGCTGGGAGTTTTGAACTGCTGACCGTGAGATTAGCAGCCTGATTCGTAACCATTATGCATTCCTATTTTTAGCTATTCTTAAGTGGTTTTAAATTTCTTCCTTTTATTTTTTTTCTTCTAGAGTTCCATTTCCCTGTTCCTCTTTGCATTTGTAGTTATTCTTTTTTTGTGGTTGCTGCCTTTTTCTCACTTTTTCATTGTTGGTTCTTGTTTGCTTATTCTGTTTTGTTTTCTTGTATGTGTGTGGGAAGGGTTTTATCTTTCCCAAACTGCAGCTCAACCCACTGGAAAAGAGCTAATGCCAGCTCCTATATCACATGACGATCAATGATAGATGGCAGCCAGCACCAGCCAAGCCCACCCTAAACTTAGATGCACGAACGGCGAACAAGAACAGCATGCTTACTTCCATTTCCTAACTACACTTAAAGGAGACAATTGGTGAAAACCTAATAACGCATCAACATTTGTTGTTGTTGTTGTTAAGTGTCGTTGAGTCGGTTCCAACCCATAGTGACCCTGTACAGGGTTTCCAAAGCTGTAAATCTTTATGGTAGCAGAAAGCTTCATCTTTCTCCCACAGAGCGGCTGGTAGTTTTGAACTGCTGACCGCAAGGTTCGCAGCCCGATTTTTAACCACTATGCTACCAGGACTCCTTCAACATACACTCAATTAAATACAAATACAAAAACACCACAATGTCTGGGAGACAACAGACAATTTTATAGCTCACATGAAGAAACAGGAGAGCATGACTTAAACAAATGACTAAGATGCAGAGTCAGAAAATGTTTCTGAGGAATAAAAGGTAATGGAACTAACAGAACAAGAATTCAAAAGAATATTTAGGTACCTTATAAGGATTGACAGAAAGATCGAGGAAAGCAAAGAGAACACAGAAATAACTTGAGAAGAATTCATGAAAACACCACAAGAACAAACAGACAAAATAAATGTAAATTTTGAAAGAATATAAAACCTGAAACTAGAAACCCAGAAGATTAATACTCAGAACTCAGAAATGGACAATACATTCAAAGGGCAAAAGAGTAGATTCAAAGTAGTGAAAATGTGAAGACAAATCTGTCAGTACTAGTATGCTAGAAGAATAATCAGAAAAAAAGAATGAAAAATCCAAAGAAAGTCTAAGAGTTCTTCTCCTCCACCATGAAGAGGAACAACACATGGGTGGATCAGAATTCCAGAACAGTCAGAGACTATAAAAAAGCACAGAAAAAATTGTAGAAGAGTTATTAGAAGAAAAAATTCCCTAACATCATGAAAGATAAGAAAGAAAAGCATACAAGAAGCTGAATGAACCCCAAACAGGATAGATCCCAAAAGAAAATCACCAAGCTATATCATAATCAAACTTTCCAAAATCAAAGACAAGGAAAGAATCCTAGGAGCAGCTTGGGAAAAACAAAAAGTTAACTACAAAAATGAATTTAAAAAAATGAATAAGCTCTGATTTCTCAGCATAAACCATGTAGCCAAGAAGGCAATGGTTGACATATACAAAACTCTGAAAGAAAAAAATTGCCAACCAAGAATCATATACATAGCAAAATTTTTTCTCAAATACAACCATGAAATTAGGGCATTTCCTAATAAACAGAAGTTAAAGGAATTTGTAATGACTAGACCAAGTTTGGGGTCCTGGTGTGGCGCTTGGGTTAATGTGCCTGACTACAAAGTTGGTTTGAACCGCAAGGTCGGTGGTTCAAGTTCACTAGCTGCTCTTTGGAAATCCTATGCAGGGTTGCTATGGGTTGGAACCTACTGGACAGCACTTAACAACAAAAACAGATCAAGTTTACAAAAACTACTAAAGGATGTTCTTTGGACTGAGAACCAACAATAGCAGACAACAACCTGAGATGAACATACATACATGCTAATACCATCCAGAACTCAATCCAGATATTGAAGCATTTAAAGCAAAACAGATCTACAAGACTGGAAATAGAGAACCAGAAATATCAATGTGTAATGGATCCAACTACAATGCAAAAAGAGGAAAAAGTATAAATACAGAAGTTCCAAATGGCTAGTAAAGTCAAGCAGATTTCAAGATTGTTTTAAGTAGAGAAAAAAATGAATAAATTGCACTATAATCTCAAAGAAAAATAATATATCTGTGTATCAAAATAAACAAAGAGGAAAACCAGAAAGATTTAGTGAACATAAACAAAACAGAAATGAAGAAAATGAAAAGAAAACCCATAAATAAAATGAACTCAGTACAGAAAGTTATGTGGAACAAGCAGTACCACAAAAAAACACACACACAGCAAAATGACAGCAATCAATTCATACTTAGTGATAATTACACTCAATGTAAATGGAGTAAATGCACCAGTCAAGAAACAGAGAGCAGAATGGATAAGAAAACAGGATCCTTCAATAGGCTGTCTATAAGACACATCAAAAAGATAGAGGCAGTCAGCTGTTCTACAGGAGAAAGATGAGGCTTTCTGCTCCCGTAAAGATTTACAGCCTCGGAAACCCTGTACAGGGTCACTATGAGTCAGAAGCGACTCCACGGCACAGAACAACAACAACAAATGCCCATCAACAGAAAATTGTTAAGCAAACTTTGGTACATAACACAGAATGGAATACTATGAAATACTGAAGAAATAACAATGAGTCTTTGAAATACCTCATAACATGAATGAACCCAGAGGATATTATATTGAGTGAAATTAGTCAATCACAAAAGGACAAATGTTGTATGGGACCAATGTTGTAAAAAGTAAAGAAAAGATTTTCTTAACAAAAGAAACAATCAATGATGATTATGGTGGGAAGGGGAAATTATTTATAGGTTAGAGGGTAGACACGTTAACATGGGTGACAGGGCAGGCAATATACAACACGAGGGAGGTTAACAGAGGAAACATGAAGGCACATTGAAATCAAACAAAATATGTGATGGACTGAACATAAAACTGATGACATGCTTTGTAAGTCTTCACTCAATTTACAATAAAAAGTAAAAAGAAAAACAACACAAAAGATGAAGGTAACAGTAGACACAGGGAGGAATGCACGAGTTAAAGTGATTAGAGGTTGTTGTTAAGTGCCATTGAGACAGTTCCAATCCATAGTGACCCTGTATAGGTTTTCCAAGGAGCAGCTGGTGAGCTTGAACCAACAACCTTGCAGTTCAAACGGCTTTGCAGTCTGGTGCATTAACCCACAGCGCCACATCAGGACTCGAAATACTGTTAACTGTTGGTACATGGAGGGCATTGCAATTCTTACAAGGAAACAAAGTATATAATTTTCTGAAGATAAAACTGATGATCTGCTCTGTAAACCTTCACTCAATTCACAATAAAAAGTTTAAAAAAATGTAGAGCAAAATTCAAAATCACACAAAAGACCAGAATGACTGGTAGAATCCCCAAGGCTGTGGCCCTTAGACACCCTTGAAGCCTAGAACTGAACTCACCCCGGGGAATCAGTTCTCAGACCAACAACAGACAGGCCTATGAAGTAAATCACAAACACCAACAGAGAGGAATGTTGTGGGTGTTGTTAAGTGCTGTTGAGTCGGTTCCGACCCATAGCAACCCTGTATAGGATTTCTGAGAAGCAGCTGGTGAGCTTGAACCGCTGAATGTAAAATCAGCCACAGGAAACCAAAAGGGCCGTATTAGTCCCAAAACTAAGCATAGAAGGCAGGCAGGGATGGGAAAGAAGCATAAGTGGAAATGAGGAATCCAGGGAGGAGGTGCAAAGAGCGCTGTTACAATGAAGGGATTGCAATCAGTGTCATGAAACAAAATGTGCATAGACTGTTGAATGGAAAACAGATTTGTTCTGTAAACTTTCACCCAGACTATAATAAATAAAGAGTAAAGTAAGACTGTAAGACAGAAAGTAACATTTCTCGAGCTAAACACCTGTGTGGAAATTTTATATTAAAAAGAGGCTAGCCCTTTGGTTGTTTAAATTATTATACATTCCTGAGTGTTTCTGTGTACACCCCCCCAAAAAAAAAACCACAAAAAAACAAACACAAAAAAACAGAGGGAATGGAAGCAAATACTGTTGAATGATGATGCTCGGAGGAGATTGTAATCATTGCAATGAAATGATGAGTGTAAAGCCACTGTTCTCCCATGTAAACTACCACTCAGTTCACAATAAAAACTTGAAGAAGAA